CTTGCTCTTGTGGATTGTCTGATTGTGGGTACAAACCAGTGTGGATATGTGAATCCTTTTTTTTTTCAAGTCTATTTTTGATTTGTCAGCTGTATTTGAGTTGAAGTGGTGCGACTACATCATCCAGAACCTTATATCAAAGAGTGACCATTGGCACAAGAGTAATAAGAAGTCTCAGTTTAATGGTCCTGTTCTTTTTCTTGTGGTAAGTATTCATCTCTATATTATTTCTTATAAATTTCTTTAGATTGTTATTCTTTGATATTTTTATTTATTTATTTGTCAAAACGCAGGTTTTATATGTTGATCGTGTAGTTATTTATGAACGAGATGTTCTTCCAAGGAGTGTGCCTTCGTTTGTTGGATGGAATTGTGAGATTCTCCGTCGACGATGCTCTAAAGAAATTAAGGTTGGTGGTTTTGGCCGGAGATTTGTTGATGAACCGAAGGAGATTCCGCCTTTGCAGTTCAAGAGGCCTGAATTAAAGGATGTTTATGATGATCCTGTACAGGTTTGTTATTACTTTTTTTGTTTTGTTGCATATGTAGTTGATATGAGTTGCATAAGTAGTTGATAGGAGTTGCATATGTAGTTCATATGAGTTTCATTATTAGTTGATATGAGTTGCATATTTAGTTGATACGAGTTGCATATTTAGTTGTTGGGAGTTGCATATTTAATTGATATCAGTTGCATATGTAGTTAATAAAAGTTGCGTATTCGTTATGGTTAATGCTTAGTTCATCTGTTGTGGATGTTTAGTTCTTATGTGTTGCATATGTACACATATTGTGATGCACATTTAGTTAATTTTGAATGCTTATGTGCTTATAATTGTCCATTTTTTATATCTTGTCTATTTAAACAGGTGTACAGATCAAAACTTCTTAGCAAAGTTGCCTGTTTGGCCACTGATGTTGTTGATGTGATTTCGTTGCTTCAAGATGCACCTGATGAGGTGGAAAATGATGGGGATTACATGAAAATTCATGAAGCAACCAAGAATCTCATTTCTTCCAATCTTGACAATCCTGAATCTTCGAAAAGACCTTCTACAGTTGATTATGAAGACAGTGAGGAAATGAATGCTTTCTGGAATAATCCAGAAACTATTGCAGTAATCGAGAAGGTTGAGCGTGCCATTGAAAAGAGAGCTCAATATGAGAAGACAAAGGCTGATATTGCAAGTTTTTCCTTGGGAATGGGGTTGTCCCAAGAAAGTGACAAGAGTTGGGAGGATGTTCTTAATAT